GCCCAGGGGGAGGGAGAAGGAAGCTCCAAAAAAGGATCCCCAAATCAGGAAGCTAGGCTTCCTATTTATAGGAGGGGGAAGGGGTTTTAGGGCTATTGTAACGGGCTAATAGGCTTAAATGGGCCAGGTAGGCCCAATTGGGCCTCGCTGATTGGGCTCCTTATCAGGGCGATATATGCCTCGGGCCTCAGAACAATGATAGGCCGGGATAATATTCCCCAACAAAGCTTTTAACGACCACTTTTTTTTGTCGTCAAGTGATTGTTATAGCCTCCGTCGTTATTAGTTTTGACGACAAAGTTCGTCGTTAATTATTAATGACGGAACAAGATCTCGTCGTTGTTATTTATTAACAATAAGAAACTCACTCGTCCTTACGATGACAACATACATTACAAGAAAAGGCCCATTAGCGAACAACAAATGTTCGCAAAATCTTGAAAGGTGATCGTTGAAGACTATTTGCGAACACAAAAGACATTTTGCAAAATGGCGACTACTTCATTTGCGAAATGGCAACAAATTTGTTTGCACTAGCCACATTATGTAAAATATACGGAGTATATTCCAATAAATGATTTTTATAACATACGTAGTACACTAGTACTACGTATTATATTACAACAATATGATGCACGTATAGACGTATAGTATCAATTTGTCTTACATGATACTCCCTCCGTCCCCTTTTAAATGTCTCATTTTATCATATTGGGATGTCCCTATTTAATTGTCTCATATCTTATTTGGTAAAGTTTGTGTGGCTCAAAATCATTCTTACTTTATTCTTACTTTATCAATTAATCTCAACCACACAAACACACTTTTCTTAAAACTCGTGTCACCCTCTTCCGAGACATTTAAAAAGGGGACGGAGGGAGTACAACCTAAACTCTAACTTACACGTAATCATTTAAATCTTAATTCTAATTTCCAAAGTAATGGTAAAACTAATAAATCTTCCGCTTGAAACATCATCTCAACTCTTTTCCTCTTCTCAAATCATACGGTAATGCTTTTAGGCCATTCTTCATGATGTGCCGTCGATATTAAAACCTCTCTTAACATCTTCCTCTAACACAAACTCGAACCTTGCATCTAAAACCATAAACTTTTATTATTAGTAAAATGTACGTAGTATATAGCATCACACACATTTAATAAAAAACCCTATTTAAAAATTATTAATAATTAGGGATTTTATAAACTAGTTCACTGTGGCATGTATACAAACATATATTCTCTACCCAAATAGTCATAGAGCCCGTTTGGTAGCATAAAAAATCGGTTGTTTTGGCTGATTCTGCTGAAATTTATGAAGTTCTGACTGAAGTGGCTGCATTGGCTGATTCTGCTGATTTACGAACAAATTATTTTTAAAATATATTTTATTGATAATATAAAGAAAATATTATATGTAAACATAGCTAAAATGATTATCTACAGTAACTTCAACCAATACAGCCAAAAAAGTAACTCAAACCTTACTTTTTCTGCTTATTACAAAATCCAGCACGCGAAAGTAAAGTTAAGTGTGTGGTGAAAAAGTTGGCTGATAAGCCTGATAAATCGAAAAACATTGTTGCCAAACAACCTCGTAATCATAATGTATTTAATTTCAATGAAAAACACTAAATTTCCTAACTATTTAGACTTACTAAAGAAGGGTAGTAGTATGGAACCTGATTTCAAGAAATCTCTTTACTAGTTTGTGTCTGTATGTCACAAACCAAACAGAAAATAAAACAAAATTTTCAGATGTTTCAAAATTACCAGTTTCTCTCTTGGATATACGAACTACTTATGATCAGTTGTCTAGCCTCTTTAATTTACTTACTAATAAAGTGAAGAGTTAGCATAGATATCTACCAAATCAACTCCAAGTTGAGGCCCCAAAATCATCAATAGTGATAGCAAACATCATGTAGCTGGATTTTGTCCATGGTCTTCGGGACATCTGGTACAACCTACAAGAAAGATCATTTATAATGAAACTTGAAAGACAAAAAGATTGATATTTTTCTCTATTTGAAATTGATAATCAAGCTCTAACTCACCCAAATAGATCGTAAAGAAGTGATCTCAAACTTATATATGAAACTCAAACCTGCTACATACTCAACACCAACCCTTCAACCCCAAGTTGGGTACTCAATTCTCTTATTCTCACACTTATATACCATATTCAAATCCAATAGCCTGCCATGAACAAAATAGTCAGAGAATATAGTGCATCAATGTAATCAATCATTTTTCTGAGAGTTATTCAGAGGTCCTACATGGATCAGCTACTCAGTTATAAAGCTATTCAACTATAACCATCATAAATCATTGGAGTCTTGATATACTCTCTTTCTATAGATGCTCGGCCCACATTAAATAGACTGTTTTCATTATTTGCCACCTCATCACCAATGCACCAAGGCTCTTAGTGAACCGTATTGGTAAAAAACAAAGCCATGGGTACAAAAAATGGTAGTCTGTAAGGGACCATCTGATATGTACAAACAACAAAAATGTACAAAAAGACTAGTGTTTTAAAATGCATATGTAGCAAGATCATATTTCAAAAATCACAACACATATCATCAACTTTTGATCACAGGTAATTGCATGAGCCACTAGTTCATTTTTCCAAGACTGTCTAAACTAATAGTTCTTGCAATATACTCCTTAATCCTTAATCATATATTTTTGTTAGTTGTAAGACAGTTTCATATCAGTTTTGAGTGGAAGGGGGAGTTTGTCCAGAGCTCTTCCGCCTCTTCTCCCGGCCCTCTTCATCCTTCAGCCACTCATGTACAATGTCTTTCATCCGAGCCCTCCCCGCGTCTTCCATGGCTTGGGCATACTCGTGGGACTTTTTGAAAGCACTCACAGCCTCGATTGCAGAAGTCTGAGCCTTCTCTTTCCATGCCTTAATTTGCTCCTTGTACCCCTCCATCTTGTTTAAGAGGGCTGTGTTTTCCCTCTCCAGTTCGACAATCCTTTTTTGTTGGATCTCCATCTCCTGGTTACTCCTTTGATAAAATAGTACGGAATAGATCACACCCTGCAAAAAATCAGGGACAATGTATTAATGGCGTGTGCAATCAACGTTGAATAGAGTGAGTGAGCTAGTGCGTGAGTGAGAGAAGCTAACGTACCTTAGTCAAGCAATGCATTGCACTTCCCAATGCATCGGGTAGTTCTAGAGACCCTAACAATTGAGGGTCCTCCGGTGACACCCAACTCTTGAAGAACTCATTGATATCTTCCTCCATTTGGAGGACTGAAGTGGAAGAAGATAGAGAACGCCAAAGAGAAGATCCCTTCATTCTAAAAATTTCATCCATTGAGAGCCTTCCCTTATCTTTGGTGATTGTGACATTGCCCATTTGACCGGTGGTCTTGTCAACCACGGAGACGTCTAGAATACCGTTGGCATCGATTTCGAAGCACAAAGTGATATCTAGAACACCGTTAGGGGCTGGCGGTATGTTGGACAACTCAAATTTTCCCAATAGGTTGTTGTCCTTTGTCATAGTTCTCTCTCCCTCAAAGACCTTGATCAGCACACTTGGCTGGTTGTCAGAATAACTGGAGAAAATTTGCTCCTTCCTAGTGGAAATGGTTGTGTTCCTAGGGATCAAAAGTGTCATAACACCGCTGTCCGTTTCCACGCCAATGGAGAAGGGAGTGACATCCAACACCAACAAATCCTGAACCTTCTGATTCGCTTCTCCGCTCTGAAGGGCAGCTCGTACAGTAGCACCATAGGCAACAGCTTCATCGGGGTTGATGCTCTTGCAGAGGTCTTTGCCATTGAAGAAATCCTGCAGCAATTGTTGAACCTTAGGGATCCTAGTGGATCCACCCACAAGAATAACATCATGGATGCTGTTCTTATCCATCTTCGCATCTCTCAGACACCTTTCAATCGGCAGCATACACTTCCTGAATAGGTCCTTGTTCAACTCCTCGAACCACTCCCTCGTAATGGTTGTGTAAAATCCAATACCCTCAAACAATGAGTCGATTCCAATGGTTGTCTGAGCAGTTGATGACAGAGTCCTCTTTGCACTCTCGCACGCTGTCCTCAGCCTACTCAATGCCCCAGGGTTTCCACTGATATCCTTCTTATGTTTCCGCTTGAATTCCTGAACAAAGTGGTTCACCATTCTGTTGTCGAAATCTTCACCTCCCAAATGAGTGTCACCTGAAGTGGACTTAACCTCCAAGATGAAGTTTTCTACCGTGATAAGAGAGACATCAAGAGTACCACCGCCGAGGTCGAAGATGAGGACGTTCTTCTTGCCCGAGCTGCTTGTTTTCTTGTCCAGAACATATGCAATAGCAGCTGCAGAGGGTTCATTGGTGATACGCATAACATTCAGACCGGATATAGTTCCAGCATCCTTTGTGGCCTGCCGCTGGGAATCATTGAAGTAAGCGGGGACAGTGACCACTGCATTTTTTATTCTGGTTCCAAGATAAGCCTCAGCAGTCTCCTTCAGCTTTGTTAGAACCATGGATAGGATTTCCTCTGCCGAAAACTGTTTTTCCTCACCCTTGTATTTCACTACTATCATTGGCATGTCACGGGGACCAGCAATTACCTTGAATGGCCATAACTTCATGTCACTCTGTACCAAGGGATCGCTGAACCTCTTCCCAATCAAGCGCTTAACATCTACAGTAATTCAAAAGTAAGGGGTAGCTCTAATCACATCTAAATTCCATCCAGCAAATGCCTTGCCTAACTTCTATTTTTGACTTATCAATCTTAACGGTCAATTATCATGCTCTGGATGAACCATTTTTCATTGCCAAGAAAGTTATTTTGTTGGCTGAATTGACCTAAAGTGATGAAAAGAACTGCTCAACACATTCAGCCAATTCAACTACTTCATTCATTATTTTACAAATTTAGCAAAGATGTTCTTAAATGTATACAAAATCACTCTTTTCATCTTGCTCGCTGATAGAACACACTAAGAATTATAGAAAATCGGGAAGAATTGATAAAGAAGATGTCAAGAAACTGTATTGAAGTGATTCGTGTATACAGAAGCGGGCACTTCGAGAGGCCTCATCTCTCCAGAACCAAATTCCCAATTCTAAAATCTGCCTACCTTTTCCCTCCCCCCTTCCTTACTCTTTATAGTACAAGCCCATTTTTTATCTAAAATAATAGGCCCACTTATTATTATTATCTACCATAGGCCCATTCCTATCATTACTCCCCCCTGAATAACCACCTTGCCCTCAAGGTGGGTGATAGGAGTCAGCCTTGATCTTCCACTTGCACTTCATTCTTGCACTTCTCCCCTCCCAGTACTTGACTGATTTCTGGACTAAGATCTTCCATACTTGAGTCTTCCTCCTTACTTCTTCTAGCAAAAGCCTCAACAGATCTCCTATTTTCCGAGCATCTGTACCAGTCAGGTGGCTTTGTTCATGATGGAATGGAATTTTATCAATCTGCCCAATCACCAACTGCTCCATCTTCCAATTTTTAACAAGTCTTACCTCTTGATATAACTCAAGCTCTTGGATTTCAGTGGCTCCAGTCCTTGAAGTTGTAGTATCTGACATGCAGTATTTCTTGGAACCGATAATAACAGCATGAGCATCGCTTAACTGATCAACAACTATGGCAGATTCAACTTCAGAGTTATTAAAGGAAGCTTTCCCATACGAATCCTGTAATCCAGAATTGATAGGTGCAAACAATAACATGAATGGTGCAGAACCTGCTGCAAACTGAGGTGGATTATCTGTAAGCCTCTTGCAACCGGTCATCCCTGAAGTCCAGCACTTAGTGGTCCAATCAAATTCATTCTTCCACCATAACCTTCCACTAGCATCCTTCTGAACTGATCCCGCTTGTACACCCTCCTTTTTCACATACATCCAATCCTTCCATGGCTTCCTAAATGCAGCAGTAGCTATTAAATTGGACTGCCAAGGAATAGCAGTTCCTGCTGAAGCTTTATGAATTGTAGTTAGCAGATCAACGGCTAACACACCCGATGTATCATATTTCTGGTTATCTGTAGCCTTCATTCCTCTGTCAGAACATACCATATGAAACTGATAGTCACAGACTACACCCTCATATGGAACAAATATATAAACTACTGGCATTTCCTTACCATTTTTCTTATCATTCCCAGCCAATCCTATTCCCAATCTCATTCGGATATATTTCATAGAATTCACACCCTTAATTTTTAAATCCTCAATCTGCTTCATCCCTTCCAACCTTCCCTTTGATGAAGGATGATGCAGCATATCTATTTGAACACCCAAATCCAGTTTATGAACTCGTCGAGGTTCAAGGTTATTTGATGACTCAATGTTTTCTGCTCTCAGAATTTCTTGCTTCATCTTCACTTGTTGAACTGAAGGTGCAAATGGCTTTGACTCAACATTTCTTTCCAGCTTTGAGCCCTCTGAAATTCTTTTTCGGGTAACGTCTAGTGATATGGCTTCTGAAATAGGTGATACCTGTGCATGACTGAGTAGTTCAGCAATTGCAGTAGCTTCAGGTCCTCCTGCAACTGTAATTAGCTCCTCGTTTTTGTCTCCAGTAGGTTTCTTGATTACATATTCAGCTGTCTTCAACTCTTTATTCTTCATCAACTGGGGATAAACTTTCACAGATTTAGAGATGGTTTGCGATAAAACTTGCAAACACGAATAGTCTTCTCTCGATTGAAAACTCTGATGCGAACAGAGAATAGATGAAGACGCCTGCAGAAGAAAACCAGACCCCTGCGAACTGAGAGGAACAGTTCGCGATTGCGCCTGCGAATGTGAAAACAAAGTTTGCGATGAGGAGGGTTGGGCATAAGCACTTCGCGAGGAAAATTTAGAACTTGAAACCGATCGTGAAGCTTGCGAACTGAGAGGAGCAGTTTGCGACTGAGAAACTGCTGATGAAGTCGCACTTTGAGACGCGGCTAGCGACGTACTGTAAGGAACCTCTAGCTTCGACGAACGTTGAGAATCTTTTTGCGATGGCGGTCGGGAACCGCGCAAATCCTTTCGCGAGTGCGCCATAGTTCGCGACTCCTGCGAACCAGAAGAAACAGTTCGAGATTTCTGCGAACTTTTCGAACCCGAAGAAACAGTTCGTGATTGGTGAAGATGATGAGATCGCGACCTCCTACTCTCACGGGTTTCCTCGATCATCGCATCCATCTTTCCTATTATCGCACCTAGCTGTCTGGTCATCGCTACAATCATATCATGATTACGCTCCATCATAACATGAGTCCGCTCCATCGCCTCCATCCTTTGTTCCATTTTTGCTCTGGTACGCACCATTCACCGTAAGAACCCAAAAAAAAATTCTCGATTTCAACAAGAAATCAGGTCACCAGAAAAGACGCTCTGATACCAATGATAGAACACACTAAGAATTATAGAAAATCGGGAAGAATTGATAAAGAAGATGTCAAGAAACTGTATTGAAGTGATTCGTGTATACAGAAGCGGGCACTTCGAGAGGCCTCATCTCTCCAGAACCAAATTCCCAATTCTAAAATCTGCCTACCTTTTCCCTCCCCCCTTCCTTACTCTTTATAGTACAAGCCCATTTTTTATCTAAAATAATAGGCCCACTTATTATTATTATCTACCATAGGCCCATTCCTATCACTCGCATACATCTTACAATAACTTTCCACGTCTCATGTTTATCCATTTCCAAAATCCATTAGGCATTAGCATGTCAGAAACTTGGTAGCTTCATAAACTGAATTCTTGTTTCGAATCAGTTTAAAAAAGAATTGAGAAACTCATAAACATTCAGAGTTTGGGAAGCCCTCATTCAGAGTTTGGGAAGCCCTGAGGTTTCACCTTTCTTCTTATGGGATTGTGATAAAATAGTGTCTTTAATAGTATTAGTAAATTTTATGGTATTATTTCCGAGCAATATTGTCTCATTTCATAAGACAGTCATAATGCATTAATGCATGGTTAGAAATGGAATTGTGTAATGCATTTGATGTTTAATTATGTACTAATGTGTTATGTGTATAACACTAATTTCTAAACTTGAACATGTACAATATACTCCGTACTTAGTATTTATTAATGAGATGAGGCTAAATTGTCAAGTAATATGGTCGATAAGTCAATTAGGTCTCCTTTAAAATCAATCAATTAAACTATCAAACTTTGACAAGAAAAGTAAAAGAAATTAGTTGACTTATTGAAGATAGTACAAAGATTTATTTGACAGTTTTTTCTTATTAAAGACTTACTGAACAAGTTATATTGTACAAAATATGGGCATATATATAAATGAAAAGTATGTGTATATATGAAAAATATTTATAAAAAAATATTTATAGGTACTCTGCATGGTTTGAAATAGCGGCCCGCTACCGCTATAGCGACCGCTATATAGCGATCGCGGTAGGGGCCTCTACCGCTACGGCCCGCTATTCGTGTGTGATTTCCAAATCACGGGAAAAATCCGCTATGCCGCCCGCTACAGCCCGCTACAGCCCGCTACAGCCCGCTACAGCCCGCTACAGCCCGCTACAGCCCGCTACAGCCCGCTACAGCCCGCTACAGCCCGCTACAGCCCGCTACTGACATTTCTAGCAGTACATCACGAACCGTTTGATGTGTAAATGTGTAAATGTTGTGTGAATGATGTAAAAAAAATGGTGATGCATGGAGTGAAACTCAAAATTAAATGTTGTGTGAATGATGTGAAAAAAATACATTTATGTTTTGCGCAATTGAAAATATTTCACGTCACTGCAACCGCTACAGTCGGCTACATGCCGCTACAGGCCGCTACCGCGATGACCGCTACCGCTGCCGCTACGGCTATTTAAAACCTTGGTACTCTGTATCTTATAAATATCATACATTCATACTCCTGTACTCTTGTAGTATTTATCCATTTTCCCAGTATCGTATTCTACGGAGCATGTTTTTAGAAATCATATTTCTGGCGTATATAATTCAAAACCTGGAAACACGTATACTGAATGAGGAACGTACCGACGACGGTGTTAATGGGGTTCATGGAGGCTGCCTCTTTGGCGGCCTCACCAATGAGAAGGCCGGTGTCCGTAAACGCGACGCAGGACGGCGTGGTTCTATTCCCGTGTTCATCCGCTATAATCTCTACGCGGTTGTCTCGCCACACTCCGACGGTTGAGTACGTCGTGCCCAAGTCGATTCCGATCGCCGGCCCTTCACCTTTGCCGCCGACCATAACTTTAACTCCACAAACCCCGGCTAAGACTTCAAGGATAAAACAGGAACAGGGCCTCGGGAGAAGCTTACGAAAACTATTGTGCTTTTGGTGTGCCGAGGACGTAGGTCTAATTATAGTATGATCAAGGCTCGATCATAAAGCGCAGTAAGCTGTGCTTCCTCCCGCCTCCTAAAAGTCATAAATAGTAGGCAAATTTCCTCAAATAGGAATAAATAAAATTTGGAATTTCAAAGTATTGTTATTTTCTTTCCCAAAGAAGAGTCTCTTATAGTGTCACGATTAAAAAATATTATTATTAGTAACACTAAATATTGTCATATTAATGTCTAGTACTGCAATTATTTGATAGCAACGACTTTAATATGATAGTAAATAGAAGAAAAGGTCAAATAGGCCCCCTCAAACTTACATAAAAAGTTCGAATAAGCCCTTATATAGGAGGTTATGTCCGGCCATCGTCATTTGGGGCAGTTTCCGGTGGAATTTTTTGATGAATGTTTTTGAACATCTTATTTATTAAGTCTAGTTTACTCATACATAATCTCAGCTAAAACTTCAATCGGGGAGGCATTCAAATGAATTATTGAAGACAATAGGAATAAAGGCTCAATCATAAAGCCCAGTAAACAATGCTTCCTCCCACCTCCTAAAAGTCATAAATAGTAGGCAAATTTCCTCAAATAGGAATAAATAAAATTTGGAATTTCAGAGTATTGTGATTTTCTTTCCCAAAGAAAGTCTCTTATATTGTCAAGATTTTTTTTGGCAAAAGATATTAATTCATATTAAAAACAAGATCCAGATACAAAATCGCCATATAAAAGGCTACATTGGGATGAGACTCAGAGTTGAAATCACACATAAGAGCAGCCCAACTCGCTAATCCCGCAATCTGGTAGACTCTACTAACAGCAATGCTGCACCTGCTACTAGAATTGAAATTAAAAAAGCAACAACATAAACTAAACATCCCGGTTTTACCAGCCACCGAAAAGGGAGAAGAGGTTTGTCCATCCACCTCCAAAGGAAGCATCTCGATTTTACCAGCCATTGGAAAGGGAGAAGAGGTTTGCCTAGCCACCTCCAAATTAAAGGAATCATCTCATGTACGGGACATGTCAGCATTTTAGGCGGTGCTGTTTCGGAAATACCGCCGCCTTGCCGTTTTTTGTTCCCTCACCATCATCCTTCTCGAGTGACCTCCTTTCAGCCTGATTTAATCTCTCCATTAATGGCCAACAAAACGATTCCCGCATCCGAGATAGAGAACAAGAAGGAGTGTGACTCACGACCAACCGCCCAAACACGTTCACAATTGAAACGGACCAAACCCTCGGCCAGAGAAGAACTTAGCCGGACAAAACGAAGGGAACCGAATCCCGTGCACCAACAAAATATGAAACAAAAACGAAAACAGAATACTAGAACCTTGCTGGAGAGCCCTCAATAATCACGATGGAAAGTCTTGCCGCAATTGATGATCAAAATAAGCTACGCATCCCAACCATCTGTATTCGCTGCTAACGAAGAGGCGCCGCTAGGGTAAACACATTAATCTTATTTTATAATTTCAAAACTTAATTATTCCAAATTCGGGAACATTCCCTTAATAGAAACTAGTATTATACCCTAGCGATGCACGGGACAAAAATATAATTTTATATTATACATTATACTTTTATTCTATACACATACATATTAAAATATTAATGTAAGATGTATATTTATTATATTCTATGAATATTGAAATATATGCAAAATGGCAGAGATAGGGAGAGGCTCACAAGGGACTCAACCTGCCCAAGAATAAAATTTTAAATATGTATAAATGTTCTTAAACTATAAAAAGTATGTTGGTTTTTACGTTTTGGCCCCTCCTACAATGTAAAATTCTTAAACTCCGACCCCTTAATAATATAGTCCTCACGCCGGTAAACATCGATTAATTTTTAAATTTAATGTGAGTTATGCATATGTCAATATGAAATAATTCAAATGAAGTGTACATGCTATGTCTTGTAGCCACTCCATGCAAGTAAAGTTGAGGTTAAGGATTATGAGATCTCTATGGCCATCGTGGCACCATGGAACTGAAAGAACAAATGTTCATTGTAGTTCAATTACTTGGAAGTTGATGGGTTTTTGCCTATATCCTCCTCATAGAAAGAGGGATAATTTTATGTGCTCAAATAGTATTGATTTAAGAACATTAATTAGTTGAGGTAGGGTGCTAGATTTCAAAATTATTTTCTTTAATGTCATAGTGAGTAAGTATTACTATGTATTAAATAAGTCCAAAATATAAATAAAGTTCAACACTTTTATAAATGAGTAAATTATTTTATAATGCACATAACATACCAATTCAAAGATTTTAGTTTCATCTACTTGAATTGATGTTATCTGCAAGCTAAGTAGGATTGGAGTACTGAATGGTAATTATATTATTGTATATATCATGAATGGTAATTATATTATTGTATACATCATCAGAGGAAGATTCCCTTCCTAGAACATACTAACGTCCTTCCTTATTAATTTCATTATGAATATACTTATGAATATATCATCTTTTTTACAAAGTATCATCTTATTGCCCAGTAACAATTAATCTGGCTTGAATTAAAATTTACTTACATTATGAAGAATGTTCTCCTAATTAATGCATGCCGGACAACCATATGAGATCTCAATGTAACCTTTTGAACACTACCTTCGTATCTGCTAGTTGCTCTGCAAAAACAAAACCATTAAATTAAAGAAAACAACAATAATCCTTTACGTACTAACATTTCACTATGAATGAATTGTGATGTAAAAACTGATATAGCCGGAGTACCAAGTATTATATAGGGTTGGGAAGCGGTTATCTGATCATGGGATGGTAGTGGAAACTGCCTATGCTTTAAACGTGTCCAAAACATGCCACCTGGAAGGCCATAATAAAACATAAAATTAAATATATTAAGATGTAATATATTGCTTGTGTTTTGGAGCCTTTTTAGACGAAGGGAAACTAATTGCTTCAGGCGGGAACAGTTACTGGACAGATGGTCCAGCTTTTATATATAGAGAGATGTTAACAATGTGATGTGATATTTTTTCAAAAATATTATTAGAATAAAACTTATTTATTAAAATATGTTTGAAATTTACTATTATATATTATCACAATATTTGAGTGTAAAATTCAACATAAGTTACTTTAACCAAAGTTAGTATTATATGGGGTGTTTGTATCTGATTCTTAAAACTGTTTCCACTCCTTCAGATAGCAGAAACAGAAGTTGGAGTGTTTGGGTGAAAGTATATAAGTACTTTTGATGCTCTAATTAACTCCTAGAAGTAGTTTTTTAGAAGTTGGGGGATATTTTCTAAAAACTTATTTTGATTTTGTTACTGCTTTGAAAAAGAAGAACAAGCAGAATGAGTTTCAAACACCCTCTAATCACTACACTTAATAAATCATATTTACCAAAGTTAATAAATATTGTTTGTTTTGCTAAAAGAGTTAGTCGTTGTCTTAATTGCTCCCCTATTTAATACTCCCCTCATCTCATAATTAAAGTCATAGTTTGACTATATTGTCTCTTAGGTGAATGTCTAACCGTAATTATCTATAAATAATATACCTATATATTCTATAATAAATTAGCATTTGAAAAATATATATACCAATGAAGTATATAAAATTAATTTTGTGTGATAACCAGGAGATGGAGATCCAACAAAAAAGGATTGTCGAACTGAAGAAGGAAAACACAGCCCTCTTAGACAAGATGGAGGGGTACAAGGTGCAAATTAAAGCATGGAAAGAGAAGGCTCAGACTTCTGCAATCGAGGCTGTGAGTGCTTTCAAAAAGTCCCACGAGTATGCCCAAGCCATGGAAGAGGCGGGGAGGGCTCGGATTAAAGACATTGTACATGATTGGCTGAAGGCTGAAGAGGGCTGGGAGAAGAGGCTGAAGAGCTCTGGATAAACTCCCTCTTCCACTCAAAACTGATATGAAACTGTCTTACAACTAACAAAAATATATGATTAAGGATTAAGGAGTATATGCACTAGTATAAAATTTTGACTCAAAAAATCAAATTGAGACCTTAATTTAGGGACGAAGGAAGTACAAGATTTTACAATTCTAATCTTTCATTTTAATAATAATAAGTAATTAATACCCTCTTACGGCTCCCACCCATCCACGGCTGTCCAACCGCCGGTCCGCCCCCACTCACCACGACACCTATCATTGCATCTGCAACCGATCGATATATAATGATCACCGCCTGTGGTTAGTATCAAAGAATTGTTAGTGACTTTGCGCTATACGAAAGTAGGAATATCATATATTTTGGTGTATATAGTATTTTAAGCCCAATTGTTAATTAATGATAGTTGTAAAATACACATAGAACAGACATATGTCAAACCAGATTAGATCAGTTCAGACTAGGCCAGACTTAAACATGTTACGTATCAAATAAAATCAGATTAGACCAACCTGTGTAATTATAGTCCAATTAAAAACATCCTTACTAGTGTAAAGGTAAATGAGTGACTAATTTATATATACTCTCTCCAGGGAAGGATCTATGTACAAGCTATTATAAGCTGAAGCGCAAGGCAACTTAGATTTTTTTCCATTTATTTAGTGTAATTTTTTCATTTTTCACATTTTTACCCATCCCGCTAATATTTATACCCAGTATAATTCATTTCCAGCCCATGGCATCTCAAATTTAACAATTGGGCCTAAAATACAATAGTATAAAATATAGTACGAGTATAGAAACTAGTTTAGTTGTGTATTCATATTTGGTGCATGATTATTTTGGTGCAGGTAGTATTTTGACTTGATACCTCTTTTTGATGAGTATAATGATTTTCTTATACCGAAATTGGTATGAAAACTTTCATGAAGAAAAACTTTTTACGATTTTGGATTTCATCTTGTTTTTTCTTATAAAAAATAAGGTTATAAGAAAAACTATTGATAATTATAATGTGTTTAATTGGATTGGTTCTAGACTTCTAGTCATAGGCCGGACCGGATCAGACTTAAACAGACCATATCAGATCAAATCAGACTAGACTTTGACAGTTGTAAAATACACATATAATAGACATCTATCAAATTAGACTAGACCAGTTCAAACCAAATCAGACAGGACCGGTTAAGAACATTATTACTAGTGTTATTGTAAATGAGTGACTAATTATACGGAGTATAATTTTTAGTGAATGCATCCACCGTAAAATATTAGCTGTATTTTATGTAAATTATACCGAAATAATTAAGTATGTATATTAACTATGCGGATCAATGAGGCTTAAATGAAGGAATATATAAGATCGTATTAATGCCAAGTTAAGTAGCCTCATCTTTACAAAAATCATAAGCATCAATGAGGGGTAAGTTAAAAATGATATGTTAAAGGTGTTAGTGTTTGTGAAATTAGCACGAGGAATGCAATAGGTTTCATTGCTTGAATATACCTTCTCATAATGTTCATTTCCTATGATTAGTAATTCGATGATTTAAAATCATCTGATTTTTTCTTGTAGGTACTAGGTAGGATATAGACAATCACTTATTTTTTCTTGCAAAAAAATAGGCGATTGTTATATGAAATTGTTATTTTATTATTATTATAAGTGCTCATTTATCCCATGAATGGTTATTATACGATTTCTACATACTAAAAAAGTGCTCTTCTATCTTGGTGTAGCAACTTGTTGAGAGACCATTTGAGCTTGTAAAGTTATTAGTTATATATTTCTTAAATATCTTGTTGTTCTTCCACAGTTCCACTTATGAGTGTAACACCTAATGCTCTGGAACAATGAATCCAATCCATTGGTAGCCCGAGAGGAGGAAGACAAAGTCATTCTTCTCTTGCGCTCTGACCTTAGCCTCATCAATGCCCAGTGGTTTTCTCTGATGTTATTTTTGTGCCACCTTTTAAGCTCATGAACAAAGTGGTTTACATGCTGTAGTCAAAATCTACACCTCCCAGGAGAGTGTCACCAGCAGTGGCTTTAACCTCAAAGACTCCATCTTCTATTGTGAGCAGAGAAACATCACAAGTACGTACAACCGCCAATATCGAAGACAAGCACATCCTTCTTCCACAAGCTGCTTGCTTTCATATCAAAATAATATGCAATTGCAGCTGTTGCAGGGTTCATCAATGATGGACATAACATTGAGACCGGAAATGACTCCAGCAACCTTCGTAGCCTGGCCTTGGGAGTGGTTGAAGTAAGCAGGGACAGTGAACACTGCATTCTTGATTGCTGTTCTGAGATAGGCCTCTGCAATCTCCTTCATCCTTGTTAGAACCATTGTAGGTCACTACTATCATTGGCTTGTCACGAGGTGGTCCAGCAACCACCTTGAAAGGCCATAACTTCATGTCACTCAGCACTTAGGGATCACTGAATCTCCTCCCAATCAATCGCATAGTGTCTAAACAGATTGAAGTAAGAGATTTTTCAGTCCAAAATCAGATACTGGAAAAAGTAACATCTCGTATCGAAAGGGGATGAGGTGTGGCACTTCTAAACTCACGAAAACTGAATCTCATGAAGTCGTTTAATATTACAAAAATATTTCCAAAACAATGATTTTATGAATATTTGAAAATGATAAAATTTAAATGGTTTATATATACCCATTTAGAACTAGTTTTTTCACTATTTCATTTTTGAAATAAAATTAATGTTTCATTTTTAGACCGGCTCAAAATAATCTTCATGTTTCCATTTAAGAAAAGAAATACTACTATGTCTGTTCTTATCATTTCATTCTTTTGTACTCGAATTTCAATCACATATTTTCCTTTTCAATTGCTTTATTAACAAGTACAATAGAGTGTATGATTTAGAAGGTAGAGACTTGTGAGATATGTCTTCTTGGTCATAAGTACCCGAAGTTTAGATACAAGCTAACTTGTTACGCAAGATCCGATGCGCCCGCCCATCTCATTGAGTCAACAGTGGGTTCCCATTGTTAACCAAAAATATAAATTAAACGAAAAAATAAATTACTATGTATTTATTACTGATGTGGTAAAACTGTTACAAGAAGCAGAAAACGGCAGATAATCATTCCATAAAGGAAGTGAAACAACTCCCGTATTTGGGCTAATCTCTATCACAAACTTAATCCCTTGCCATGCCTAGCATTAAATTCATCCTACTTTGACACTAAATAATGTTAAATCTCAAAACTCAAGATCCCTACAAAAACAATGGCCAACTTTGCAATATGTATACCCTCTCTGATATTCCTAAGCCTTTTCTTCTTCTTTGTGAATCCATACACAGGTAAACAAACCATACAAGCTCTGTGTGCTAAAACCATAGACCCAAGTTTCTGCATTCATGTTCTGGTCGCAGGTGCTTCCAAATTGTCAAAACAACTTCTCTGAACCGCAGTCTAGCAAGCAGCCAACAATGCATTGGGAATGAGCGATAAAATCAAGAGTTTTATGAACCAGCCAAATGATCCTAACCTTGTAGCTTACTTTCAGTGTTCGAATTTCTATAGTGCTACCATGGGAGCTCTGAACGCTGCATCTCAGCTTCTGGGTTCTCCCCTGGCAGCTTATGTTAAGAATGGTATCGCCTCAGCAATAGCTGTGACGCTTCTTTCAGCAATGAGGCAAACCACACCCTTTCCTTGTAAAACAAAAGCCTTAAAATTCATGGAAATATGGTATCCGTTGTTTGTGATGCAATATGATATGATAATCAATAACATTCTTACATTCAGACAGATCATCGTCGTTTCAGTAAATGCTACCGGTTTTGGTGAAGTCATAAAGAAACTGTAATTTCAGTTGCCTCTTAAGCAGATAATGTCCAAATTCTCCAGCTTAATATATATATACTCCCTCAATCCCATAAAATTCTTGCTGGTTTGACTTGGATCGGAGTTTAAGAAAGTGGAAATAAAGTGGAAATGTATGGTTGTAATTGAGTAAGAAAAAGGTAAATGAATGTTAGCCACACAAAACTTTTCAAAAAGGGAAATGGGAATTTTTTTTGGGACATCCCAAAGAGGCAAGCGGGAAGAATTTTATGGGATGGAGGGAGTATTTATATAGTAAAAGGATAAATACATAAGATAAGAGACTAGTCATACAAGATGCATATGTGGCAAAAAGACTAGACTTATGAAATGCTTACGTGTAAAATATATTAGTTTTGCAAAATGAATAGGTGGTAAAGGACCATGAAATAGGTATAAAAAGACTACTCTCAAGAAATGCATGTGTCATAAAGGACCAAGTTACAGGTACAAAAAGACTAGTCTTACAAGATGCAAACATGACAAGATCATATTTCACGAAATATGACATCACCTTTTGATCAAAGGTAATCACTGTGAGCCACATGCGCATCTTTCCACGTCTGTCTAAACTGGTAGTTCTTGCATTAAATAATGTATTCCGTTTAGTTGTAAGATATTATTATATCAGTTATGAGTGGGAGGTGGACTTTGTCCCGAGCTCTTCTCCCGGCCCTCTTCAGTCTCTAGCCACTCAAATACAATTTCTTTCATTCGAGCCTTCGCCGCTTTGTTGATGGCTTGGGCATACTCCTGGGACATTTTGAAGGCCCTCACAGCCTCAATGGAAGAGGTCTGAGCCTTCTCATTCCACTTCTCCATCTGCTTCTTGTACTCCTCCATCTTGTCTAAAAGGCCTTTGTTTTCCCTCTCCAGGTCAACAACCCTTTTCTGGAGGTTCATCTCCCGATTGGTCCTTTGAGATAATTCCACAAAACGGCGGAACAATGCCTGCAACCGGTAAGGGATAGGATATTAATGTCGTATTACACTCAAAGTTCACGAGAACGAGAGATAGAGAGAGAGAGAGAGAGAAGTTAACCTCAAAGCAGCGGCGCATTACGCCTTCCTCTAAAGTGGGGAGCTTGAGAGTCCCTAACAGTTGCTGGTCCTGTGGGGGAAGCCATCTCTTAGTGAACTCCTCGATATCTACCTCACCTTGGAGTACCGAGGAATTGACAGCCTCCTCTGGTCTAGGACGTTTTGACACTCGAAGCTGTGCACTTGAATGAGTCTGGCTTTTAGAAAACAAAGAACATAGGATAAGACATGGTTAATCCATTAAGGGGAGGAAGCAAGTGGGAGTGGTCCAGGTGGACCACTTTCCACGCTTAAGATTTTTACGTAGGGGGTCTTGAGTTCAAGTCACTAAAGAGGTGAATTTGGGAGGCTTTTCTTAAATGATGATCCTCTAACCCCCGGGCTAGTTTGAGTGGTTGTGCAATTAGAGTTTTGTCTCGACTCAAGCCGTAGTTGGGAATAACTTTTTGTTGGGAACTTAATGTTGATGGTGTTTGACCAATAAGTGGCAGTTCTCCTAAGAACTGTGCTGGGAACCTGATAACACACACAATTAATCTGTTGCGAACGATTTCTTGTGCACGTAAGAGTACAAATGGCGGTGGGAATCTAGCGGATTGTTCGAATGGCTCAGATTTACTTCTCTAAAGGACTTAAGGTGGATTCTTGGGGACCTATTATAAGTTGACAAAGTCAAGATCACCTACTGCTAACAAAAAAAAAACAAGAGAATGCCAGGCAGAACATACCGCCATTCTGTCCATTTCATCCATGGAGAGCCTTCCCTTAACTTTGTTGATGGTGATCTTACCCATATGTCCTTCCGTTTTGTCTTCTGCAGAGATGTTTAGAATACCGTTAGCATCAAAGTCAAAGCGCACAGAGATCCGTGCGACACCCTTTGGGGCTGGTGGAATGCCCGACAGCACGAATTTGCCCAATAAATTTTTGTCCTCTGTCATGGCCTTGTCCCCCTCGTAGACCTGGATCAGCATGCCACGCTGGTTGTCTGACTTAGTGTGGACAATATGCTCTTTAGTGATGGGGACGATTGTGTTCCCCGGGATCAGAACTTTCAGAAAATCACCAGTCTTCTTCACACATAGAGACAGTGGAGTGACATCCAACACGCACAAATCTTGAACCTCGCAGACACCTTCTCCGCCTAACATTGCAGCATGCACCGCGGCACCATATGCAACCGCTTCATCAGGGTTGATGCTTTTGCATAATACCTTCCCAGTGAAGAAATCCTGCAACAACTGTTGAATCACGGGGATCCTAGTAGATCCGCCCACGAGGACAACATCATGGACATTCCTCTTATGCATCTTCGCATCTCTCAGACACTTATCAACTGATCCGATACACTTCCTGAACAAATCCATGTTCAACTCCTCAAACTGTGCCCTCGTAATGGTTGGGTAAAAATCAATACCCTCAAACAAAGAATCAAGTTCAATGGTGGTCTGAGAAGCGCAGGACAAATTCCTCTTTGCCCTCTCACACGCTGTCCTCAGTCTCCTCAATGCCCTAGGGTTTCCACTGATATCCTTCTCGTGTTTCCTCTTGAACTCATGAACAAAGTGGTCCACCAGTCTGTTGTCGAAGTCTTCACCTCCCAAATGAGTGTCACCTGCAGTGGCCTTGACCTCAAAGATTAACTCTTCTATCGTGATAAGAGAGACATCAAAAGTACCACCGCCAAGGTCGAAGATGAGGACGTTCTTCTCGCCCGAGCTGCTTGCTTTCTTATCCAAACCATATGCAATTGCAGCTGCGGTGGGTTCGTTGATGATACGCATAACATTGAGGCCAGAGATGACTCCGGCATTCTTAGTGGCCCGTCTTTGGGAGTCATTGAAGTGTGCAGGGACAGTGATCACCACATTCTTGATTGTGGTTCCCAGATAAGCCTCTGCAATCTCCTTCATCTTTGTTATAACCATGGAAGTGATTTCCCTGACAGAAAACTGCTTCTCCTCACCCTTGTATTTGACTACTATCCTAGGTTTGTCACCAGGTGTGGCAATCACCTTGAAAGGCCACAGCTTAATATCACTCTGTACTAAGGGATCGCTGAATCTCCTCCCTATCAAACGCTTAGCATCTAAAGTAATTCAAATAAGGCAGATTTGAAATCACAGTTAGGTTCCATGAAGAAACTGCCAGAATCAATAGCAATGCAGTATACGGAACAAGTCTTTTTCTGTTACTCTCTCAATCAATACAGCATAAAGCCTAAAATCCCCAGACCTTCAAATTAGCTAAATATGGTAGAAATGTTTGCTGTGATAAAGTAAAACAAAACTAATATAAGCACCAAGGAAAGGAGCGTACCAACGACAGTGTTAATTGGGTTCAGGGAGACTGTGTTCTTAGCGTCCTCGCCAATGAGAAGGCCGGCGTCCGTGAACGCCAGGCAGGACGGCGTCTTTTTGTTCCCGTGGTCATTCGCTATAATCTCTACACGGTTGTGTCGCCACACTCCGACGCTCGAGTACGTCGTTCCCAAGTCGATTCCGATCGCCGGCCCTTCACATTTTCCGGCCATAACTTTATTTCCTCAGAACCTCCGCCGGAAAGTCAGTCTTCGACGCTCTCAGTGATATCATAGCTTCCCTCGGTACTTGATGCGCAACCTTTGGTTTGCAGCTCATTAATGAAGTGGGTATGAATAGCTCAAACAACCACATTTGGGGCTATTCACCACTGCCAGACAACAAATTCAGACTAGGGCTCCATCACCTGCAACGCGCAAGAAAGAGCTCAGCAACCAGAATTGTTCCAGCGCAGGCGCGTGTCCCGCACGCACTGCGCACGCGAATGGGAAAGCAATAAACGCTTTTAATGGCAGATCTGAGATTAGAGCATCTCTAAAAAAATGTTATACTTTCAACAATAAAAGCATGATGACACGTGTTAATAAATGAGTGGGAATGTTATATCCACTCATAAGTGCAGCTTCATTCATCATACTTAAGTTAACGGTTTTTTATGCCTTCTTATTGTCATGTCATTTTCACATAAGATTATCTTAAATAATCTACAAACCTATCAATTTATCATCATCCGTGATCTTAATGTACTGTTGGGGTATTGCCGTATTGGGCCCAAGCCCAATACGCCCGACCCAAAGCATAAAGAAGGCCCAGGAAAAACAGGAGGCCAATCAGAATCAGAAGGCCCAAGACGTCCCAAACGGGGATACCTGAACGGCGTTCGGGTGGATTTGTCCACTTGAGACAATCAACGGAATACTGGCATCAAACACCCTCAAAGGGGGTCCCGCACACCGGACGTGCTACCTGGACGGGTAGCCAGCAAGAGGGAGCCGCATTTAATACTGAATTATGGCCATAGCAAGTAGAGGCATGAGTGCATTTCGTGGCAGAGGGCTGGTAGCTGTAATGATACAGGAATAGATCAACATTCGGGGCGAGGCCCATGTCATGACACAGGACGATGTACCTGGTCAAAATCCTATAGGTGCTAGGCACGAACTGTGCGGGCAGCACCGAAACCCGGCGTAAGAAATCAACAACCATGGGGAACCGGAGACCAGCAACCAGTGCATCCATATGCACCAGCGCGCATCCCGGGCGGTGCCTCATAGGATGTTTAATGAAACCTGCATAAAACTCGCAGGGGGAGGCAACAATTGACGGAGCGACTGTTCGGCATCCGCAGGAAGGCGTTGACGCTGCTTCCTAATACAATGAAAGTTTAAACTATAACGAGGGGGCGTTCGAGCATCCCCCTCTCGTAGATGACTAAGTCATCACCAGATGTGCACCCATCATCGGGGAGGGGCTGTTCGAGGAGATAAAGAGGAATCATCAGAACCTGATGATCGAGCAGAAGGGCCTTCTTGATGACTGGGGTGGGCCTTTCCCCTAGAACGACAGATTAGCTTGGGTGCCATTTCTTCGTAATCAGAAGAGCTAAGGAAACCAAACATAAAACCAAGGAAGAAATAAGTTTCTAGAGAGAGAAAGCTTAAAGGAGGTAAGAATCTAAAGAAGCAGCAAAAAGTCTAAAAGGAAGCAGCTGCATCCTTATAAAGGAAAACTACCGCCAAGAGCTCCAATTGATAGTTGACGCATGGCCAAACGGTTGAAAGCAATAAAAGCATCGCGATCACACGAGATCCCCGAACGGGCATCCACATCAGAGATCGATAGCAGGCAAGGACCAAAACGATAAGACACACCGAACGGGAAATGCACCCCAAAACTATTCAGAATAAAGATAGGGTCTGCAAATCGACCACAACCAGGGATAAAGATACCCGGACAGCCTCACAAGGATCTTCCATACTATATGACCACGCCTTGGTGACCAGTTCTTCGCCGGACATCCATCATGCCCGAAAGCCGGACAGGGGGGGAAAATCAGGAAAATAACCAAGTCCTAAAAACATTGGGCTTAGACCCGCATTACAGGAATTGGAAATTGCTAAGATCGGGAACCCGGACGGGCAGATCGGCCGAGCGAAATAGAGTAAAAAATTACAGAAATGGCTAAGTCCTAAGTATTGGGCTTAGCCCTCGAATATAGTCTCGAGCTAGGAGGAAACAATCGGTGAACCAGAATCTAGTTCCCACGAAAGCAAGTAAAGGTGGTCAGGACCTGGATCCCGGACAGACAAACTGGTCATCGTGATTAATCCAAAAGGACTAAGTCCACAGGCGGAACAACAAGAAAAGAACTACAGCGTCAAATTTAAAGGCAAAAGTCTGATTGTATTCATCGGCTCTACTGGCCGGAAGTTACAAAAATCTATATAATGGCAAAGGGAAAGAGTACAAGATAAATCAATCTATTCTACTCTACTAATCACCGGCACCCTGCTCTTCATCGTCCTCACCATCATCATCTTCATCCTCAACCTGCTTAGGCTCCATCCCTAAAGCACGCCTGCACTTTCCAAGTTGGACCTTCAGAGCATTTAGATGACCAGGATGCAGGTCGGGGAAGTTGGATGGTTGCACTGATCGGCCTAGAAGCTTCTCCAAGAGGGGAAGGATTGGCTGCAGCATATGTTGGCATCCAGCGCCATAGACCTCCCGGGCGAGGGTTTCGGCCCACCCCTTGGATACTGGGTGCTGGTCGAGCATCTGAACCCCCTCCTTCTGACGCTCATCACCACTAAGTTTGGCCAAATGTCGCCCGAAGACAGCAGGGAGCTGCTCGAGGGCATACTCCTCCTTTAGAGTGGAAAACTCCTCTGAAGTCTTAAAATTCTCCCGGACAGCAGTAAGGTCCACTGACACCTCTGGGGGACTGTCCGGGATCTGAGAGGGGGCCTCTGAGAATTTAATCTGAGCAGCCTCGGCAGCCGCCATATGTGCCTGAAGGGAAGCCACCTTGACACGAAGCTCCCTAAGCTCGCTCTCAAGCTTCCTTCGATCTTCAGCAGATGCCTGCCGATCAGTCTCGGTGGCCTGAACAGCCGAGGAGAGGGCATGTTCAGCCTCCTCCTTCGCCAAAATCAATCCCCGTTCCTTGGCCAGCCAGGCCTCGCGGAGCTGTAGACTGTAAACCCCCATCTGCACACGACCAATCAATAGTAACAAGGTGAACACACAACTGGGAAAGAAAATCTGAAAAGGAGACTGGGATAAAGAAATACCTTTGGGGCAGTCAAAGCTACACACTCCTCGGCTTGCTCGACCGGGAGATTGGGAAGGGTGAATCCGTTAAGGAAAGCAACGGTGGACCAAATTTGGCTCGCCGAACAGCCCCCCCCCCCCCCCCCCCCCCCCCGTTCTAACATATCGTGAGCGAGATCTTCGAGGGAGATCCGCTCAAATTGCCCGGCCTGATCGGCTTGATGGGCACCAGCATCCTGAGCATCGAACTGATGAGGTTGCTGATCGACAAAGAGATGATCCATTAGCATATCAGCATGCGAAGATTGATGTTCGGAGGCAACCTCCTGAATGGGCTGCACCTCCTGGACGAGTTGAAACTGCTCCACATCCAGAGGAGCAGCCTGAGAAGAGCTGGCCTGATCGGCCTTCTTCATCCTTTTCCTCTTCTTTTGCTTCTTCTCAGGCTCGGGGACTCCACCAACGTCAAACAACCTATTGTCATCCATATCAGTTTCATCTAATGCACACTTGAGTTTAAATTTTTATTTTGCACATTTCAATATCATTTAATGCACATTTCAGTTTCACCAAATGCACAATTTGGTTCCACATAATACAATTCAACGGTTCAGATTCGTTCTCATTTTTCTCCGAAGATCTGTTCTTACCGGAACCGCTCCCTGTGACGTTATTTGCATTGCATATTGAGGTTCAAAGTGTTGCATATTATATAGTCATAAAATAGCAGTTGCACATTAACGTTCAACGAGTTGCACCTGACGTGCACTTTGTCGTGTGTGCACTCAAAATAATTTCAATACTAGCACTAATACGTAGTATAGCGTAGTATAATTCGTGTCCACAGGGAAAGGAAAAAACTCTCTTTTTATGTAACTAGTAAATAAAGGGGGGTTTTGATTGAGTGATTTGATTAATATTAAACACGAAGATGAACGAGTTATATGGGTTTTAATTCAAAGATAAAAAGGACTTGGCATTGCTACTTTACACTTGTTGATATATTTTAGTCGATCATTGTTATATCTATAACTTATCTCCTCTCGAATACTCAATCGAGGAGTATATCCAATTCATCGAGGATAGTTATTAACAGCGACCATTCATTAATAACCCTTACTATTAGTCAAGTATAGAACAACGCCATATACCGACTTGATAGTAGCATTTAATCTCTTAACTCCTTGATGAAATCAATTGAGATTGATAACCTCAACACAACGGTTTCGGTTTAACCAACAAAATTAATCCTTATTAACCACGACTGTGCATTAACAAACCAAAGTTACTTACTTGTGAAACTATCAACGATTAACCATCAGTTCGTTGATCGTTTCTAGTAATAATTAATATATGAAACAAAACTAGTTGATTCTTTAAGTAATGTTAAAAATATTAATATGAAATATGAATAGGAATTAATTAATACTCAAGGAAGAATATTTAAAGAAAATGAATCCTACTATAGTTAATATCAAGATGTTAACTAATTGTCATCTTAGTAACACTCCCCAATATTAACATAGAGGAAAGAATAGCTATTACTAAGACCAACATCAAGATGTTAACTAATTGTCATCTTAGTAACACTCCCCAACATTGATATAGAAATAGTATTTAAAGGAAGAATTAATATTCAAGGAAAGAAGTTAAGAAAATAACTCACAACTTTAATAATCAACAAGCTTCAAGAGCAATACCAAGAAATGGAAGTTTAGCTCCTCATTTGGAGACTAAACATGCTAAAAGAAATATAAAGAAATGCTATTCTAAACTGAACTTAAGAGTATAAAGGAATTGGTCTCTTCTTGTGAAGGAAAGGAGGTGTATTTATAGGCTTTTTTGGGGTGCAGGTCGGGTACTTGATCGAGTATATACAGATACTCGATCGAGTATGTGTAGAAACTCGAATTCGATCCATACTCGATCGATGTTCGAGTACAATTTATAGCTATACCCGATCGAGTATGTCGGTGTACCCGATCGGGTATAGACATTCGATCGTGTCAAAATCTTCCCTGCATGTTCCTTTGTTTTCGGATCCGATCCGATTTGAAATTTCAACAAGATACCCGATCAAGTATAGATGATACTCGACCGGGTATAGACCAAAAATCAGGATCTTCCCTTTTGTCTTGTGATTTTGCACCTTCCTTCCACTTTTGGGGTTCACCAACTGTCCTTTGAGTGATAGTAGACCTGTTTGAGTTCAGAATAAACCTAATCTAAAGAATTTAACAAACTAAACTATT